TTGCATGGCTGTTAAAGAGGTCACAAGCAGGTTGACCAGCGAACTCAACATCTGGTTCCTGGACGATGGCACCCTGGCAGGGGGACACAGGAGTCCCTGCTAGAAGATCTACAGCTGGTGAAATCTAAGGGAGAGGAGTTAGGACTCACCCTAAACCCATTAAAGTGTGAAATCATCTCATCTAGCCAACCAACCATAGATGCAGTGCGAATCATATTGCCAGGAGCCCAAGTGATCGCTCCCACCGACAGTGTGCTGCTAGGGGCACCTCTGGGCTCGAGCGCCATTGAGGTAGTCCTCGAAGAAAAGCTGAACGACCTGAGGAGGATGAAGGTAAGAATAGGGGCTTTGTTTTCTTACAAGGTGCCTGGCTTTGCCCAGACTGACCTATTTCCTAAGGTGTGCTCCCTCCTTCAATAGCCCAAAATTAACAGAATATGACTCGCTCCTAAGGTCAATAACCGTGAAAGTGTTAAACCTCTCCCTGCAAGATGACCAATGGGACTAAGCAACGCTCCCAGTTAGACTCGGGGGTATAGGTATTCGCAAGGCGACACAGTTAGCATTGCCGGCATTCTTATCCTCGACCAGTGTTACAGGTGAATTAGTTAAAGAAATACTACCGGAATACCTAAGAGGCTCCATTGGGATTCATGATCCCAAATTCGCGGAAGGAGCCGGTCAGCGGGACATTCTTGTCAACTCTCATCCTCGACCAACTTTTCCAAATGACTGCAAACAGTCCAAATGGGATAGCCCCATAGTGGAGAACATCGCCACATCATTGCTGGAGGCAGCTTCCAGGAAGGACAGAGAGCGTCTTCTAGCTGTGCAAGCGCCCCATGCCGGGGACTTCCTGTTGGCAATCCCTAATTCCGCCTTGGGCACCCGCCTGGACCATCGGACCCTAAGTATTGGTGTTGCTCTGCGCCTTGCCACCCCTATCTCCACCGAGCACCGGTGTATTTGCGGCCATGCACGGGCAGACCAATACGGCAGCCATGGTCTCATCTGTCGTAAGACACAGGGAAAGATTGCCAGACATGAAGCAGTCAATGACATCATCAAGAGAAGTTTGGCTTCAGCTGGGTGCCCAGCACAAAGGGAACCTCAGTTGTGCAGGCCTGACAACAGCCAAAAACGCCCAGATGGAGTCACCCTGCAGCCGTGGAGGGAAGGTAAACAGGTCGTATGGGACTACACATGTGCATCCACATTGGCTGATACCTATCTACCTTACAGCACAGCTGAGGGAGGCGGGGCGGCCACCTTCAGGGAGACCCAGAAAACCAACAAGTACAGGGACCTAGAACGTTGTTACAGGTTCGTGCCGATAGGCTCTGAGACTCTGGGCGCCTGGGGTAAATGTGCACTAAAGTTCCTGAAGGAGCTGGGTGAGGAACTCATTGGGAAAACTAGAGACCCAAGAACGGCCAATTTCATGTTCCAGTGCCTGAGTGTCGCTGATCAGAGGGGAAATCCGTGCTGTATCTTGGGTACGCACCCGACCCCCGAAGAGCTGGACGAGGTCTTCGAACACTGATTGTTATATTGTTATATAAGTGTGTGTTCTGTAAACTGTAGCATTTCAATAACATCAAATAAAAAAATATTAAAAAAAAATAATAGGGGTGGTAGGAGAGAAAAAAATTAAAATATTCAGTGAGAATCCACAAGGTCTTCTCTGAACACTCATTATTTTCTTCTTCGAGGATGTATATATATATATATATATATATATATATATATATATATATATATATATATATATATATATATATATATATATATATATATATATATATATATATATATATATATATAATATAAATATATATATAAATATATATATAAATATATATATAATATATATATATATATATATATATATATATATATATATATATATATAATATAAATATACATATAAATATATATATAAATATATATATATAAATATATATATATATATATATATATATATATATATATATATATATATATATATATATATATATATATATATATATATACAAAGGGGCACCAGATTGAAGATGGCATGTCAAACGCCTCGTCAGCTTGGTCGACGTCATACCTATGTACTTTCATTGAAGGTTACATCCTTCGTGGGGGCAAGTGTACATGTATACAACGCTTGACTGCTGTAGAGGGTTCTCCGTCGGCTTCGGGCTGTTTTTGATAAGGAGTTCGGAAGTCTTCTTGGTTTTGTAGAATATTATCAGGTTTATGTTTTGGTTAGGAGTAGTGCTTTTTACTCCTTTACGGATTATTTCTTTCATTATTCTTTCCTCTTTTATATGTTCACTGTGCATGGTTGATTTGTAATATAATTTTATTGGGGGTGTTGTGGTTTCTGTTCTAGGTTCTGAATTATACCAGCGGTCCAAGTGTCTTCTTATAGCAGCGTTTATTTCCGCGTTGCTATATCCGTTGTTCACCAATACCTGAGTTACTCTTTCAAACTCTCTACTCACGTTGCTCCATTCAGAGCAGTGGGTAAGCGCTCGACGAATATAAGTGAAAATAACAGTCTGCCATTCTTGGATGTACTAATAACAAAAACAGGAACCTCTTTAAGCACCAACGTATATACCAAGCCCACCAACATAGGATTATGCCTGAACGGTAGAAGTGAGTGCCCCCAAAGATACAAAGCCAGTGTTCTCAATGCTTATATTCGTGAAGGCTTGATTCCTTGCTGCTGGGTCGTGCACTTTAATATTAGTATATTTTGGTAGCAGTCTTTCCTGTAGACATATATTATTAAATATGACCGGAAAAGGATGGGAAGCTGCCTTTTCTAGATGTAACAGTCATGGAAAAGGGCGGAGGTTTCCACACTGCAGTCTACACTAAGGAAACAAACATAGGAATGTGCCTAAATGCCAACAGCGACTGCCCTGACAGGTACAAGAGGAGTGTTGTTAACGCATACGTCGACCGTGCTCTCAGCCACAGCTCAGAATGGAAGCAAGTCGACGAAGAACTCTGTAGGGTAAGGCAGGTCCTAGTCAATAACGGCTTTTCCAATGGTTTCATCGAAGACATCATAAGAAGGAAAGTGAAAAGCCATGCAACCTCTGAAGAGACAACTAACACAACACCTATACCCCCTATTAGACTATTTTACAGGAACTTCTTTTCTACAGCTCATAAAACGGAGGAAAGGGTCCTGAAAGATATTGTTAATAGAAACGTTATCCCTACAGACAAAAATCAGAGGATACAACTGACGATTTACTATAAAACCAGAAAAAACGGCCAGCCTACTCATGAGAAACTCTCCAGACACAAAACAGAACGCTTTAAAAGAGACTAATGTCGTCTATGCCTTCAAATGCCCACTTGGGGACTGTAAGCTCCAAAAAACCCAGTATATAGGCAAGACAACAACATCTCTTTCTAGGCGTTTAACGATGCATAAGCAACAGGGCTCCATTAAGGAACATATAATCTCTTCCCATAACCAAACCATCGCCAGAGAAATCCTAGTAAACAACACAGAAATCATCGATAGATACAGCGATAGCAGGCGGCTTGACGTTTGCAAGGCACTACACATCAAGAAGTCAACACCAGCAATCAACAGCCAATTATTGCACAACTATATTCTACCCACCTCAAGACTCCGCTCCAATATAGAAGCATCAAGAAATATGGACCAATAGGCTTTCTACAAACACTTCTATTCAATACCCATTGTTTCTGTTCTGTCTTGTGTTGATACTTTTAATACCCTATTAATATCCCCTCTTGTTCTGTCTTGTGTTAATGCCACATCACCCCTCCCACCTCACTCAAATGTAGATATAAAATCAGAGATACGTTCTAATCAGTTGTGTATTTGTGAAGTCTTTGAAAATGTAATAAGTTTTACGAAACGCGCCCGTGTCGCGTCAGACTAGAAATAAAAATGAATTTTGGAGAAGTGATTTTTGATTTACCTCCAACAGTGAAGCGTAATGTACGAAAGATTGAGAAAATTCGTGTTAGAATTATTAATCTTACTTTTTCGGTCATATTTAATAATATATGTCTACAGGAAAGACTGCTACCAAAATATACTAATATATATATATATACACATATATACATTCTCAATCGACTTGAGGATGGTCCAGGACGGACCGAAACGTCTTCGTCCCTTCACCTTCTAGTGTGTGGTCTGGTCAACATGCTTTTACAAACTCAGGTTATATCTTGAGATTATCTTGAGATGATTTCGGGGCTTTAGTGTCCCCGCGGCCCGGTCCTCGACCAGGCCTCCACCATCAGGAAGCAGCCCGTGACAGCTGACTTAACTCCCAGGTACCTATTTACTGCTAGGTAACAGGGGCATTCAGGGTGAAAGAAACTTTGCCCATTTGTTTCTGCCTCGTGTGGGAATCGAACCCGCGCCACAGAATTACGAGTCCCGCGCGCTATCCACCAGGCTACGAGGCCCCTCGTAGTTACATCACAGGCCCCCTGTATATAGTTACATCACATACATACATTGTATAATTGATACATTACATGGTCAATCTTGGGTTCAAGTCCAATATATCATCAAGTGTTCCAGTATTCATTATAGTTACAGATTTCAGTATCAAAACAACACTAACATCTCGCATGAAATAAATAACATTGACATTCCCCTAGTCTGACGTAAATCAATGTAAACATGCCATGTAAATAAAAATGTATCTTAAATGGCAAACTAAATAATGACTGGAAACAGTAATGGCAGTCGAGTTAAGGTATTTAGGATCAACTGCCAACCATATCCTTAAGAGACAACTGGGACAATACCATGGCAGATTTGACGTGTATGCTAGGGATGGGAGTTTTATTATTCTAGAGCTGGTATTGAAGAATTAGCAACTTCAGTGAAGTGGCTGCTTTTAAATTTGTCAAGGCTTAACTGATGGGAGATAATAGTGTGGACGAGTGCTTACATATATATAAAATGCCACTCAGAATTATCAGTCTGAAGATTAGAAGCATATCAGAACTCCCGCCTCACAAGCCAGTATAGAGCGTGGAGTCTTACTCAGAGCACAGCGTAGCCAAGTGGAGGCTGGGTGGTACTGTGACTGCCAGCAGAAGTATGTAGCTCAGCACACAGACTTCCATAATCAAGGTACTTAGCATAATTTGTCACCATGACCGATGTCTTCTGTCCACTTATGTGTACAAGACATGTGATAGTAAAGTGAAAGTAAAGTGATGAAGTAATCATTCCGAACGCTCTCGTTTGTCAATACATTATCAAAGGTACAGTGTAGTCAAAGTTTAATAACAGAGTCTCTCCTTGCATTATAGCATTATATCTTAGTCATGTCATAGCATAGAGTGTGTTTCTATGCTGCTTAACCTGTCATGTCAAATGTAAATATATTCTCACCTTACTAGTTATTGTAACAAAATCCGAGCGGTTTCTTGTATTCTCTTTTGTTTTTCAAACTTCATATATATTCAGCAGAACCGCTGGTTATGTTGCTTATAGCTCTCTGTGGTCTCCTGGAGGGAGCATGTACGGTACAGCCAGAAACTTGGGATCACTTCAAATAGGTTCGAAAACGTTTCTATTTGATCTTATAAGGGAGAAAACACATCTGTTTTCATTGCCAACTCTAACACGTTTTGTGTGCTCGTAACTTCCTTTGTCCCTTCCACATCATAATGCTGCTCCCTAATACACTTTTTCAGGGTTTCGGTGATATTGTTCTTCCTTATCACTTCTTGTCACTTTGACTATATATTTGTATCATCATTGTAGCATGGCTGAAATATACTCCAATAACGACCTGCTGAAATTTACTCCCTTAATGACCCGTGGAAATTTGCTCCCCTAATGACCCATTGAAATTTACTCCCCTAATGAACCATTGAAATTTACTCCCCTAATGAACCATTGAAATTTACTCCCCTAATAACCTGCTGAAATTTACTGCCCTAATGATCTGCTGAAATTTACTCCCTTAACGACCCACTGAAATTTACTGTCCCTAATGACCTACTGAAATTTACTGTGCTAATGACCTGTTGAAATTTACTCCCTTAACGACCCACTGAAATTTACTACCCTGAAATTTACTGTGCTATGACTGTTGAAATTTACTCCCTTAACGACCCACTGAAATTTACTACCCAAATGATCTGCTGAAATTTACTGCCTCAATGACACACTAAAATTTACACCCCTCCCCCCAAGACACTTTGAAATTTACCCCCTCCCCCACCTAATGACTAAATTGAATATCGTATTTAAATTGCACTATATATGTTAAATCCCAACCACTTGGACTGGACGGTAGAGCGATTGCCACGCTTTTTTCAGGTCGGCGATCAATCCCCAACCGTCCAAGTGGTTGGGCAACATTCCTCTCCCGTCCTATCCTGAATCCTTATTATCATATAACTTTTAAGTGCTAAATATTCGTTATGGCTTGTAATGCCTTCTTCTTATAGTCACCCTAGCCCTCAATGACCTCGTTGATTGTTATTTCGCACAGAAGCGGTTAAGAAAAGCGTCAATACAAGCAAGATGTTACTCAGGAGGGAGTCTTCCCTCAGCACCATCACAGAGGTTGACAGTAACATCTCCACACCTCCGCAGGAGAGACGGTTTTGGAAACACAGTAATACCGTCGCTCCCAGCTTCCTCCAACCTGGGGATCGCCCCAGCCAACCTGGTGATCGCACCAGCCAACCTGGGGATCGCCCCAGCCAACCTGGGGATCGCCCCAGCCAACATGGCGTTCGCCCCAGCCAACCTGGGGATCGCACCAGCCAACCTGGGGATCACCCCAACCAACCTGGGGATCGCCCCAGCCAACCTGGGGATCGCCCCAGCCAACATGGCGTTCGCCCCAGCCAACCTGGGGATCGCCCCAGCCATCCTGAGTTTCGCCATGGAATATTTATTATTAATGACTCAACGAAGCTGGGAGATGGGAACTCCTCCCTCATGGTGGGGGAAAGCGACGGACATACTGCTGAAGAAAGTTAGTGAGACACTTATTGTTTGTTTTATATAAAGCATTTTGCTATAGACAAAGCTAAACTAGTTAAAAGATATGCATGTCTAAGATGACCAAACCACACACTAGAAGATGAAGATGGACAATCTACTTCATAATAGTCCAAAACGGACCTAAACGTTGTCATCTCTTCATCTTCCGGTGTGTGGTTTAGTCACCATATCGTCAGCCACGTTGTGACTCATCGTCTGCATACGCATAATTCAATCAGACTCCTTATAGATACTTATGATATAATTCTTTTTATATGGTTCGATAGATGTATCAGGAATTATAGGTTAAGGTGATGCTACACTCAAAACGTTCCCTACATATCTACACCTTAACTGTTCACTGCAACTTGCTTTGATTCCTTGTAAGTTAAAGTGTGCGTGTGTGTGTTTCTGCAGGCAGTGAGGGCTGGGGGGTGCGGCACACCCTGACGGCGGTCTCCTGCCTGGGTGTGGCTATACAGTTCGCCATGCGGATGAACTTGTCCATCGCCATCGTGGCCATGGTGGGTATACGCGTCTCCAACACCACCAACAAGACCTTTGACGACACATGCCCTCTCCCGGACAACGGAGGCAATAACGACACGTCGGGCGACACCGGTCAGACGGTAAGAGACACGTGTCGTGCTGGTGAACTTTGTTAGCCTAGCTCAAGGAAGGTGCATGTTCCAGCAACCGTGTGAGAGGCGAGGTTCGTATTTACATGTTAATGATGAAAATATTTCAACTCATTTACTTGTAAGGATGGAAGGAACTTTAGAAAATACAATCAAGAATGGAAAGCAAAAATGATGAGCGGTACACGAGAGGTTGTGAACGACTAGGGAGGTTGTGAACGACTAGGGAGGTTGTGAACGACTAGAGAGGTTGTGAACGACTAGGGAGGTTGTGAACGACTAGGTAGGTTGTGAACGACTAGGGAGGTTGTGAACGACTAGGGAGGTTGTGAACGACTAGAGAGGTTGTGAACGACTAGGGAGGTTGTGAACGACTAGGGAGGTTGTGAACGACTAGGGAGGTTGTGAACGACTAGGGAGGTTGTGAACGACTAGGGAGGTTGTGAACGACTAGGGAGGTTGTGAACGACTAGGTAGGTTGTGAACGACTAGGGAGGTTGTGAACGACTAGGGAGGTTGTGAACGACTAGAGAGGTTGTGAACGACTAGGGAGGTTGTGAACGACTAGGTAGGTTGTGAACGACTAGGTAGGTTGTGAACGACTAGGGAGGTTGTGAACGACTAGAGAGGTTGTGAACGACTAGGGAGGTTGTGAACGACTTGTGAACGACTAGGTTGTGAACGACTAGGGAGGTTGTGAACGACTAGGGAGGTTGTGAACGACTAGGGAGGTTGTGAACGACTAGGGAGGTTGTGAACGACTAGGGAGGTTGTGAACGACTAGGGAGGTTGTGAACGACTAGGGAGGTTGTGAACGACTAGGGAGGTTGTGAACGACTAGGGAGGTTGTGAACGACTAGGGAGGTTGTGAACGACTAGGGAGGTTGTGAACGTCTAGGGAGGTTGTGAACGACTAGGGAGGTTGTGAACGACTAGGGAGGTTGTGAACGACTAGGGAGGTTGTGAACGACTAGGGAGGTTGTGAACGACTAGGGAGGTTGTGAACGACTAGGGAGGTTGTGAACGACTAGTTGTGAACTAGAGGTTGTGAACGACTAGGGAGGTTGTGAACGACTAGGGAGGTTGTGAACAACTAGGGAGGTTGTGAACGACTAGGGAGGTTGTGAACGACTAGGGAGGTTGTGAACGACTAGGGAGGTTGTGAACGACTAGGGAGGTTGTGAACGACTAGAGAGGTTGTGAACGACTAGGGAGGTTGTGAACGACTAGGGAGGTTGTGAACGACTAGGGAGGTTGTGAACGACTAGGGAGGTTGTGAACGACTAGGGAGGTTGTGAACGACTAGAGAGGTTGTGAACGACTAGAGGTTGTTTGTGAACGACTAGGGAGGTTGTGAACGACTAGGGAGGTTGTGAACGACTAGGGGTTGTGAACGACTAGGGAGGTTGTGAACGACTAGGGAGGTTGTGAACGACTAGGGAGGTTGTGAACGACTAGGGAGGTTGTGAACGACTAGGGAGGTTGTGAACGAATAAAGAGGTTGTGAACGAATAAAGAGGATGTGAACGACTAGGGAGGATGTGAACGACTTGGGAGGTTGTGAACGACTTGGGAGGTTGTGAACGACTAGGGAGGTTGTGAACGACTAGGGAGGTTGTGAACGACTAGGGAGGTTGTGAACGACTAGGGAGGTTTTGAACGACAAGGGAGGTTGTTAACGACTAGGGAGATTGTGAATGACTAGGGAGGTTGTGAACGACTAGAGAGGTTGTGAACGTCTAGAGAGGTTGTGAGCAACTAGAGAGGTTGTGAACGACTAGAGAGGTTGTGAACAACTAGAGAGGTTGTGAACGACTAGAGAGGTTGTGAACGACTTGGGAGGTTGTGAACGACTAGAGAGGTTGTGAACGACTTGGGAGGTTGTGAACGACTAGGGAGGTTGTGAACGACTAGGTAGGTTGTGAACGTCTAGAGAGGTTGTGAACGACTAGGTAGGTTGTGAACGTCTAGAGAGGTTGTGAACAACTAGAGAGGTTGTGAACGACTAGAGAGGTTGTGAACGTCTAGAGAGGTTGTGAACGTCTAGAGAGGTTGTGAGCAACTAGAGAGGTTGTGAACGACTAGAGAGGTTGTGAACGACTAGAGAGGTTGTGAACAACTAGAGAGGTTGTGAACGACTTGGGAGGTTGTGAACGACTAGGGAGGTTGTGAACGACTTGGGAGATTGTGAACGACTTGGGAGGTTGTGAACGACTAGGGAGGTTGTGAACGACTAGGTAGGTTGTGAACGACTAGGGAGGTTGTGAACGACTAGGGAGGTTGTGAACGACTAGAGAGGTTGTGAACGACTAGAGAGGTTATGAACGACTAGGAAGGTTGTGAACGGCTAGGGAGGATGTGAACGACCAGGGAGGTTGTGAACGACTTGGGAGGATGTGAACGACTTGGGAGGTTGTGAACGACTAGGGAGGTTGTGAACGACTAGGGAGGTTGTGAACGATTAGGGAGGTTGTGAACGACTAGGGAGGTTGTGAACGACTAGGGAGGTTATGAACGACTAGGAAGGTTGTGAACGACTAGGGAGGATGTGAACGACTAGGGAGGTTGTGAACAACTATAGAAGTTGTGAACGACTAGGGAGGTTGTGAACGACTAGAGAGGTTGTGAACGACTAGGGAGGTTGTGAACGACTTGGGAGGTGTGAACGACTTGGGAGGTTGTGAACGACTAGGGAGGTTGTGAACGACTAGGGAGGTTGTGAACGATTAGGGAGGTTGTGAACGACTAGGGATGTTGTGAACGAATAAAGAGGTTGTGAACGACTAGGGAGGATGTGAACGACTTGGGAGGTTGTGAACGACTTGGGAGGTTGTGAACGACTAGGGAGGTTGTGAACGACTAGGGAGGTTGTGAACGACTAGGGAGGTTGTGAATGACTAGGGAGGTTATGAACGACTAGGGAGGTTGTGAACGACTAGGGAGGTTGTTGTGAACGACTAGGGAGGTTGTGAACGACTAGGGAGGTTGTGAACGACTAGGAAGATTGTGAACGATTGTGAACGACTAGGGAGGTTGTGAACGACTAGGGAGGTTGTGAACGACTAGGGAGGTTGTGAATGACTAGGGAGGTTATGAACGACTAGGGAGGTTGTGAACGACTAGGGAGGATGTGAACGACTAGGGAGGTTGTGAACGACTAGAGAAGTTGTGAACGATTTGGGAGGATGTGAACGACTTGGGAGGCTGTGAACGACTTGGGAGGTTGTGAACGACTAGGAAGGTTGTGAACGACTAGGGAGGTTGTGAACGACTAGGGTGGTTGTGAACGACTAGGGAGGTTGTGAACGACTAGGGTGGTTGTGAACGACTAGGGAGGTTGTGAACGACTAGGAAGGTTGTGAACGACTAGGGAGGATGTGAACGACTAGGGAGGATGTGAACGACTAGGGAGGTTGTGAACGCCTAGAGAAGTTGTGAACGACTAGGGAGGATGTGAACGACTAGGGAGGTTGTGAACGACTAGGGAGGTTGTGAACGACTAGGGAGGTTGTGAACGACTAGGAAGGTTGTGAACGACTTGGGAGGATGTGAACGACTAGGGAGGTTGTGAACGACTAGGGAGGTTGTGAACGACTAGGGAGGTTGTGAACGACTAGGGAGGTTATGAACGACTAGGAAGGTTGTGAACGACTAGGGAGCATGTGAACGACTAGGGAGGATGTGAACGAATATGGAGGATGTGAACGACTTGGGAGGTTGTGAACGCCTAGAGAAGTTATGAACGACTAGGGAGGTTGTGAACGACTTGGGAGGATGTGAACGACTAGGGAGGTTGTGAACGACTAGGGAGGTTATGAACGACTAGAGAGGTTGTGAACGACTAGAGAGGTTGTGAACGACTAGAGAGGTTGTGAACGACTAGAGAGGTTGTGAACGACTAGAGAGGTTGTGAACGACTAGAGAGGTTGTGAACGACTAGAGAGGTTGTGAACGACTAGAGAGGTTGTGAACGACTAGAGAGGTTGTGAACGACTAGAGAGGTTGTGAACGACTAGAGAGGTTGTGAACGACTAGAGAGGTTGTGAACGACTAGAGAGGTTGTGAACGACTAGAGAGGTTGTGAACGACTAGAGAGGTTGTGAACGACTAGAGAGGTTGTGAACGACTAGAGAGGTTGTGAACGACTAGAGAGGTTGTGAACGACTAGAGAGGTTGTGAACGACTAGAGAGGTTGTGAACGACTAGAGAGGTTGTGAACGACTAGAGAGGTTGTGAACGATTAGAGAGGTTGTGAACGACTAGAGAGGTTGTGAACGACTAGAGAGGTTGTGAACGACTAGAGAGGTTGTGAACGACTAGAGAGGTTGTGAACGACTAGAGAGGTTGGGGTAAATAAAAGTAATTGTGCCAGGACGACACGGTCAGGCGTTGCACAGGTCATCATCATGCATCTTTCTCCCGTCCCAAACAATAAGTCAGAAGTGTTGATTGGTCCAAGTGATCCACATCTAGTGAAGTGTTCTCTGAAGTGATCCACATCTAGTGAAGTGTTCTCTGAAGTGACCCACATCTAGTGAAGTGTTCTCTGAAGTGATCCACATCTAGTGAAGTGTTCTCTGAAGTGATCCACATCTAGTGAAGTGTTCTCTGAAGTGATCCACATCTAGTGAAGTGTTCTCTGAAGTGATCCACATCTAGTGAAGTGTTCTCTGAAGTGATCCACATCTAGTGAAGTGTTCTCTGAAGTGATCAACATCTAGTGAAGTGTTCTCTGAAGTGACCCACATCTAGTGAAGTGTTCTCTGAAGTGATCCACATCTAATGAAGAGTTGTCTGAAGTGATCCACATCTAGTGAAGAGTTCTCTGAAGTGATCCACATCTAGTGAAGTGTTCTCTGAAGTGATCCACATCTAGTGAAGTGTTCTCTGAAGTGATCCACATCTAGTGAAGTGTTCTCTGAAGTGATCCACATCTAGTGAAGTGTTCTCTGAAGTGATCCACATCTAGTGAAGTGTTCTCTGAAGTGATCCACATCTAGTGAAGTGTTCTCTGAAGTGATCCACATCTAGTGAAGTGTTCTCTGAAGTGATCAACATCTAATGAAGAGTTTTCTGAAGTGATCCACATCTAGTGAAGAGTTCTCTGAAAAGATCCACATCTAGTGAAGAGTTCTCTGAAGTGATCAACATCTAATGAAGAGTTTTCTGAAGTGATCCACATCTAGTGAAGAGTTCTCTGAAGTGATCCACATCTAGTGAAGAGTTCTCTGAAGAGGACCAGCATGTGGTGAAGTGTTTTCTGAAGTGTACCAGCACTAGTGAAGAGTTTTCTGAACTGGACCAAGATCAAGTGAAGAGTTCTCAGAAGTGAACCAGCATCTAGTGAAGAGTTCTCTGAAGAGGACCAGCATCTTGTGAACAGTTCTCTGAAGAGAACCAGCATCTTGTGAACAGTTCTCTGAAGAGGACCAGTATCTTGTGAACAGTTCTCTGAAGAGGACCAGTATCATGTGAACAGTTCTCTGAAGAGGACCAACATCTAGTGACAGCATCTAGTGAAGAGCTCTCTGAAAAGAGCCAGCATGCCAAAGTACACTCGGATGCCACGAGTCCTTACTGGAGTGTGCGCCCTTACCAGAGTGGTAAAAGGGTTTAGAGAGGTAATGCAATTATTGATTTCTTTGGAAACAAAATTGACAGTTCTTCATATTTGTTTATCAAGAGTAAAATATAAGCTGGCTGTCATTAAGTAGGATGAATAATATTTTAACGCAGGTCGATTATGTCCTCAGTCAAATTGAACTTTTTCGTATATAATAAATGGAACAATACATTCACGAACGCTCGTTTTGTCCTCGTGTGTTAAGAAAACACTATTTATGAAAAAGATAAACGTCTTTTATGCTCACATAAATACGGGCATATTTAGTTTTCAGATGAATGAAAAGGTAAAAAAAGTGATTTAAAAATCACATTATGATTACCTATCCTTGGTAATAACGACAGCGTCACGCTTAAGAGGAATCCCTAATAATACTTACCCAGATCACCGACATTAAATCATTATCGAGCCATTCACTGATTCCATGACAAATCATTTGGGGAAAAAATTATATCCTGTCTAATTCTCATGTTCACTCAGGAAGGGGACTTCGACTGGAACGAGCAGACACAAGGACTGGTTCTGGGGTCGTTCTACTGGGGGTACGCTACCACGCAGATCTTGGGGGGAAGGGCAGCGGAGTACTTCGGGAGCCGCATTGTGTTTGGCCTCAGCGTCTTCCTCGGCTCCCTCCTCACCCTCCTGAACCCTGTCTGCGCCTGGGCGTCCCTAGAGCTCTTTATCTTCATCAGGATTGTGCAGGGCGCTATTCAGGTACGTCACGGGCTAGGACCTCAAAATTAAATAGTATACTCGCACTGAGTTTACGACTAAAATCAATATCACCGAGACTGCGATAGACTATTCTTAAATTACCCCTGTATAACAAGGATATACAGAGGTAAATACAGGGATAATATATCTCTGTATTTAATTTACACCTATATTTAACTGATGAGTATATCCCTAAATATATTAAATGATACTTATATTTAATATATACCTTTATATCAGGGATTCTGTCTTGAATACGAGTACCACAGAGTCCAAGGGGTATGCGTACCATAGGTCGAGTTGAACTGTACCCTCCTCTCACATGATAACTCAGAGTTATAGAATATACATACTAAATATTAATACCCAACACTTCTAACCACTACTACTGTATCCAGCAAACAACTTTTTATTTAACTATCAGGTTTCACAAAACCTGGTACAAAATATTTGTACTTTGTCCAGCATGGGATTATCTTAACAATTTGATTAGGAGAAAATGGAGGTTAAGTTCACTCGCAAATACAAATTGCACCACAGTATACAAAAATAGTAATTATAAAAATTATGTATTCAACCAGAAGATAATAAAATGGTGGTAAAAAAATCTGAAGTCGAATCTAATGTGAACGGATGCAAATGGCATGACAGAGATAACGCTCAGTCAAAATAGACCGAGAGATACCGAAGATTACAAGTCTCGAGGAGGTTGATGACTAGTAGGGCCCCAAGGCCAACAGATGTGACAGGTGACATGTATGTTGTAAGACCTTCTTTCACACGTGACATGTCTGCAGGGTGTCACCTTCCCGGCCTTGTGTCATCTCCTGGCTACGTGGATGCCGCCTCAAGACAAGGCCAAGCTCGCCTCCATCGTGTATTCTGGTGAGTTTACATTTAAAGTTGGTCACGTTACGAAACGATTGGTATGTCTTGTTTCTATAGAAATGAATGTGTCTGTGTCTGTCTGTGCATCAAAGTTGGAGGTCACACGCTTAGAGCAGCTTCACCAAGCTTTGTAGGGTGACTGGTCTTTGTCTGGGGATAGTCATGGGCGGGTCGGGGTCGAGACCCCAAGCCTCGTCTTGGCACGAAATCACAAATATTGCTAATTTCCAATCTTGCTATTCTGTCATTAATTTGAAAATAGAGCAGTGGCTATTCTGGCTGGTGTTGTGCCATCACATTAATAATAAAAAAGTAACAAAGTAAATAAGACTGCTTGTGACCTGTACTGTGTGAGAGCAGTAGGTAATGCAAAGAGAATAAACACTTAAAACGTTTAATATAACAAAAATTACTTTAATAATATGCAAAACATAGTTCCTTATCCACTTGGCGATAATACTATATACAATATAATAGAAATATAAACACAGGTGAGTTTTTACGTTAAGCAAAAGAATGGTGCAAATTAATACAATATACAAAAGCTGTACACATCTACTGTTTCCTGGTGAGGCGACAGTGTATGTTACTGCTTGAGAGCACAAAGTGTATTCTGAGGACTGGACTGTTGTTGTTAAAAGATTCGCTACCTGGAACAAAAAGTTCCAAGTAACACGGGCTATGGTGAGCCCGCAGTGCCTTGAGGACTGGATGTCGGTGAGCTCCTTATATATGCAGGCCAGGCCAGCGTAGATGGCGCTCATGTCGTGGGTAACCATCGGTCGGCAATTAAACAAGCAGTTAGTGAATGGCGCTGGGTCTCTGCCCAGGCAGCAGGTGTCCTGGTGTCTTGGATAGTAGAGGGGGGCCTTGTCTAGACACTGAGGCTTCTGAACACGTATTGTTGTTGTTGTTGATGTTGATTCCTTATGATGGAGCATGCAGATACATTGGCGAATAGTCGGTAAAGTGAACAGGCAGGATCTTCTGCCTAGCAGGAGATTATAATAACACTATATACCCGACTTCATCCTCGCTAAGATTCATCAAGCATATTATTTTCTACATGATTAAATGTTTGTTTGTCATGTTAATTTATTAGGACAGGATGATTACAGGGATGAAGTCAAGGGGGATGAAGGAGAGGGAAAGGTGCAGGTGAAGGAGAGGAAAGGTGGAGGAGAAGGAGAGGGAAGGTGCAGGTGAAAGAGAGGGAAAGTGATAGTGGAGTAACCCAGCTCAGCTGACTACTTTGCATCCCTTGTAGATGTGATGCTACACGGTTCTTTCTCGGTCGCTCCGACCTTCAGGTAGGAGAGCGGATTTTTAAAGTCACTCCTCATCTTCAGACCTCTTCCCTAGTACGAGCACTTTCCCTGGAACGTATTTACAAATATCGGATGGAAATGTGCGCAGGCGCCGCATGCCCGAGACAAACTAAGCATCATCGTTTATGTTTGCTCAACACACAGAAAATCTAACTTGCTTTGAATTAGTACAAATACAAAATAGGCTACAATACTCGATTAGCAAGGATTCAGTACAAGAAAAAATATATGTAAATGTCAAAGGAGAGTGGGATGAGAGATGGTATTTCTTCAGAAAATATAAAATGCATGTAAGGAAGGGGGATGTAGGAAGGTTTCCCTTCGTCTGATTAAGGCACAGTCATGTGCTGAAGATCACCACTCCTCTCATCAGGGATGCAGGTGGGCGTGATTGTGGGCTCTGTGGGAAGTGGGTGGTTGTGTGACTCGGAGTTCCTGGGAGGGTGGCCATCCACCTTCTACGTGCTCGGGGTGGTAGGCCTGATCTGGTGCGTGCCGTGGTTCCTCCTCGTCCACGACACGCCCAAGTTCCACCCAAGGATCTCTCCTGCCGAGCTAAGCTACATCCAGTCCAATGAGGATTCTCTTGCCACAAGTAAGGTGAGAGATTTATACATTCTGTTCCTAATATTATTTACTAATCGTCACACCCAGATTTGTACGAATGATATGTGCAATTACCAATTCCAACAATATTTCCATATAGAAGTTAAACGATCTGACGAATATTTAAACTAACTTTAAAATTTCACGTTAAAAACATTTACTATCATTCTTTTCGAGCATGTTTGAGCAGTTTATAGTGAGACAGAAATTGAGACGATATTTGTCTTGATTTGAGCAAAGCCTTTCATACTATAACTCATAGAGGCTGATTAGGAAAGTAGTGGTCTATGGTATTGAATAGTATAATGTTTAGTTTGATTTGGACATGGTTATTCAAGAGAAAGCACAGGGTTAGCATAAATGGAGACAAATGTGAGTTTGAAGTTGTGCCAAGTGGATATAAATAGGAGCTGCCTTACGTGAGCCAATAGGCTATTTTCAGTTGCCTTTATTCTTATGATATGTTTTAATGTATCCTGGGATGTTATGTGACCCCTGTCCTTCTAATTACCATGTATGTAATTGATTTTGAAAAGTTTGAACAGCAACATTAGCAAATTTTCCGATGATACTAAAATGGGGTGAAACATAATTGACAGATTACTCAAATTCGCTATAAGACGACTTATACGTTAAAATTTAATAAAATCGTAACAAATCTAGCATAAGTAGTTATGTAGTAATAGTAAATTACTGCAAATTACTAAATGTAGTAGTAGCTAATACTGACAACTGTAGTCTTCTATGCCGATGGCATAGTAATAGACTTACCAGCTGAACGATGATGAAATAGCTAAATGCAAATGCATAAAAAAATATGGTTGCCAAGATTAGTAGCGCTCTTTAGCCAAGAAAGCAAAGCATAAATATTCCACGTAAGAGAATACCGAGATGCATAACAAGAAGAGTAATAAGAGTTACTATGATTCTACACTTTACCTTACAGCTTGCCCTGGTCTGGGCCCCCTGTGATACCCAGGTCACTTCTGGACGCCGTGCTATGGAATACAGACAAACTATCTAAGAAATGTGCAGTTAACCTCGGAGATTTTGAGTCTATTTTTGAGGATTTAAAAATACTTAATTTATATTATCTAAAAAAAAAAAAGCCGAACGTAAGGAGAAAGTAAAATGATGGGAGGAAATGGATGGAGGAGTTTGAAATGGGCGATTTTGTCTATTTACTCAATAATTTACGAGCCCCGAAGTATTACGAGGCTGCCCTTAACCCATGGTTGTTATTGTTATGGATGAATTAATACAATTTCTGTGTTCGTAAACTCTTAAGTTTATAGACTCAGCTACAATGATTGATTAAAAGAGGTACAGTTTTCGTACATTTTGTGTGCTTTATGAATCCCGGTACAGGAAGATAGCGTCAACAACGTATAGAAGAGAATTATTGGCACACACGATATGTCCTCATTGACATGTTAACAGCAGGCACAACAAAAAAAGACTGGGGGATTTCGAGCTTGAGCGCGCTCCCACGCATGGCATGGCAACATCCAGCGACTTTCTGATCACATTAATATGTTCTGGGAATTAAGTGTAAATTTTATCATTAAATTCAAAATCTGTGTGCAGCTTTGTCAGAAATATAATGCTTACACAAATGGTTGTTCTTCAATTGCATTACATCAAGTTTAAACCTAACTGGTCTGTAATTCAGGAACTGCCATCGTGCTTCAAATTTGTATTTCTTGAAAGGAACTGTCAAAACTCTGATTGAATTTCCTTTTGTATCTGATTGTATTTCTGTATCTCAAACTTGAATCTTCTATCCAACTTAAGATTAAAGTGATCCCATGGAAGGCGATCATGATGTCTCGTCCGATGTGGGCGGCGATAATGTGTTACGTGGGCTCCAACTACTTCTTCTTCACCCTCCTCACGGAGTTACCTTCCTACCTCAGCAACATCCAACACTTTGATATAAACCAGGTCAGTACTCTAACCCCTTTATGGGCTCACCATAGCCCGTGCTACATGGAAATTTCTTTCTGAGTAGCTAAATCTAAAACCACAGTAACAGCTGTAACCCCCTACGTGTTTGAGCTGTGCCTGTTACCAACTTAATAAGGTAACTAACTATCAAGAGCCTCAGGAACGCAAGATCACCGATGAAGCTAGGTGCTTGGACACACCTACACATAACATTTAATGGTTCAATAGGCTTTCTTCATTTTCCTTTATCATTCAAAAACAGAAAAATATCATTATATAAATTAAGTTTTGTTCAGATCTGTCGCTCGTGTGAGAGAGTAATGGCCAGGATCAATATATGCTACTGGAACATTTGACAGATGCATTCACTTAAAGAATGCCCTAACCCTTAGCATTTCCGTGTGTAAACTCTCTACACTGATCATACATTGAACATATGTGATTGAACGTCCAGTCATAACACCTGCTGGTACGACCTATATGAACGTTTGTAATTACTTTATACAATCAGTTGTTCTGGAATGCATTCTCATTCCTGCAGAATGAGGCGCAGGGAATATTTTAACCACAACCACCAGAGCAGCTGCAGAAATGCGAATGGTCATGTTAATAAGCCAAAAAAATCGTACCCCTTTTTCAGCAGCTGCTATAGCTACTCTTCCTTCCTTCCTTACTTTCTTGTACCCTGCTCTGTTGAAATAATATTGGGTACGAGGAAGGACATAACATTCCAGACAAACACACGAAGATTTATTTTGTTCTCCGCTACACAGAACGGTTTGGTGGCCTCGCTGCCCTCTCTGGCAATGATCATCATCGCTGTAATATGGGGTATGCTGATGGAGGCACTAACGAAGAGACGGGTGCTGTCCGTACTGTCTGTGAGGAGGCTCTCCTCTGCCGTGGGTGAGCATCACGAACACACACCACCTTGTTGTGTATGACTGTGCCATACTCGTCTGACAGCATTTTTAGCATAGATACACACACAGTGCTCCCATAGATAAACAAACCCAGCCACGACGATACACTACACAAAAATCTTTCACTACTGATGCCAAAAGAGTACCTGAAATAATCACAGAGTACAAAGATTCTCAATCAGTCAAGAGTATCGATAAGATAATCAGCGAGTGACATATTGACATGAGAAAAACCAGAATGAGGAGACACCTGTGAATTATGATCCAAAATGAGGCTGACAAAATGTCAGGCAAATAAAAAAAAAACAGTATATGGAATTCACTCCAAAATGAATTTAAACAATTTCAAACCTATATGTAAATCAAAAGTAAAAAAAAAAAGTACCTAACTTCACAGTATCTCACCTTGTGCTACTCACTCTGTATATTACCTGTAGAGATGCAGCTTCCTCAGTATAATTTATTTTATCACTATGATGAAGTAGTTATGTGAATTCAAATTCTTTTACGGCGTACCTATCATTACACTTATTTGCTAGATTAAGGGCCTGTCCGTGGCACTGTGTGTGCCAGTACCCATGCCAGAATGTGCCACTTTCACCACCCTCTGTACCTTTTGGCATATTAAGAAATAAATTCATAAATAAATGTACGGGGAAAGTTAAATAACCGAATATATAGAGGAAGTAATGGCTTCCTCTATATATTCAAACGGTGTACACAAGAGAGTGTATACCGTTTGAGTGTATACTGTTCACTTACCAATTATACCCAGTCAATACATTTATTTGCGGCGGAATACGGAAGTTTAAGCTCAACTCGCACAAGCACAACTAGGCCCACACGTTAACGCACATTTAAATAATGGAACACTTATACCATCACAATATTAATTACACAGGATCCTGTTCTCTTAGTAATAAACGGAAATGCTTTGATGGGCCCGGGCACCGCTCTCTAATACCTGCACACTCGCAAACAATGAAGCACAACTGAATGAAGGACGTTCATTTAAGACCTTGGTATTGCCTTTTCACATACATGTATATCACATAACAGAGCTGGCTAGGAGTAGGCATCCATCAGTCACAGGAGACTATGGAGTTGCGCTCTGGTTGACGGTCTGGAGTGGCCTCACCAGGGCACAAAGCCAGGGTAGGTTGATTCCATGTTTTGCCACGTGAGTTGGCTAACACACGTGGCAAACCATTTGCGAGAAGGGTGTCGTCAAATTATGCACGCAACGTTCTGTGCGTCCAATAATTCCTGCGCAGGACGAATCGACAAAGCTCATTTTGTGTGTGTGTTAAACTGTACATATTGCTTAGGCTGGCTTGGGGTCGAGTTAGATTTTAAATCGATTGGCGAACAGTCTTTAATTGATGAAGATTAAGACACCCAAGTGGTGGCACAGGCATGAATAGCCCATAAGAATAGTCTTTTGTACAAAGTGTCTTTTATCCCTTCAGGATACTACATCCCTTCTGTACTCCTGTTCACCGTGTGCTTCGTCAAGTGCGACTCCACAATGGCCGTCGTCGTCATGACGCTGGCGATGGGCATCAACGGGACCTGCTACAGCGGTGGAAGCCTCATCGAGCAGGACATCGCGCCCAACCTAGCCAGCACCTTGGTGGGCTTCAACAACACCATCGGTGCCATCACAGGCTTCCTCTCACCTGTCATCACCGGTGCCATCACCAAGGACAACGTAAGTCGGTACAAAAGTGATCGAGTCAGAAGAGAGAGGGAAAGGGAGGTATTTCAGTCAGTAGAGGGCAGGGGGAGCATTTCATTTAGTAGAGAGAGAGGGACCATTCGAGTCACTAGTGGGAGGTTAGAAGATTTGATTCACTAGTATGAAAGAGAGGGGCATTTGATTCATTAGTGGGAAGGAGGGAGGGGCGGCAGTTGAGTTAGTAGGAGAGGAGGGCATTGTGGGAACCGACCTGTGAGATTTATATTTATTTAATTTATATGAATTTATATTTACGTTAATTTATATACTTCGATAGCAATTTGTATAATGATAAGTGAACTGTATTTCTGCAATAATCTCATAATCTCACAAATCGATCCTCTACACATTAGGGGGGTTTATATTAATTAAATATATATGCAGCCAATCTAACTACAGTATTAACTACATACATTGAAAAGGTTCCTTATCTTATAGTACAGCAGGTTAGTCCACCAGGTATAACTAGGGTGTAGACACCAAATTATCCTCTTTGAGGTAGCTTCCATCACCCAGGTAACTGATGTACAAAGCCTTGCTTCCTCGTCTTGACCTGTCAAAAGGGCGCTAGTTATAAAGCCAGATACCTATATATGACAAGCTATATCAGAGAAAATACTGTACATGGAACATTGAAGACCTGGCTTAATTACCTTTAGTTTGAGGCGATTTCGTGATCTAACCGGGCCACCCTACCCAATGACATTAATGGCCACTAATGATAGATAATGGGTTTCGGAAAGAACACTTAACTTGAGTTGATGACAGCGTGTTGGAGATGGTACACCTTTGGTTTCCATAACACTACGTCCAAGTAAAATTAACAGGAGCCGAATTTGCTCCCGTGTGAGCCTCTGGTCTAGTATCAACAATGGCTAACACTCCATACTATTGACGCTACTGGCCGACATTGTCCAGATATGATAGGAGCCGAATTTGCTCCACACGTCTCGGAGGTGACACAACAATCGCTGCTCCTTCCTCACCCTCTGACGCCTGGCTTACATTGTCCACATGACAGAAAGTGATAGAAGGGTCACATTTACTCTACTTTAATACTGATAATTAAGTTAATTTATATGAGATGTTTTATGATGGTAAAGTCCAAAGACTAATGTATTTAAGAATAATTCCCAGCAGAATAGCTGGTGAATTTATAATGGTATATGGTGATGATATCCCGTTTTCTTTAGACGGTAATTCCACTACAAGTTACGTTTTCTATGGGTAACTTGTTTATACAATACAGCTATTATCTGTATGATTATTAAATGGTGTCGGATTTTCCGACAGGCATTCGAGCCATTAAGGAATAGGGGGCATATGAATAAGTGGGAGATGAATCTCAGTCAATAGAAGGAGAGGATCATTTAAGTCAATAAGAGGGCATTTTCTTTAATTTGCACGAGGGCCGCCATCTTCGGTGGCCTAGAACAAGGCCTTTGACAAGCCAGCGGCTTGTCAAAGGTCCTCACGTTTTTCCCCCCAAGGATTTTTCCAGCTGAAATTTAAATTTATGCGTCATGGCATTGACACCCTTAGCAAGTAGGCTGTAGGAAAAATCTGCTAGCAGGAAATTATGTATTTATTTAATAATTTATTATTAATTTAATTTATTAAATTATTTCAAGTTTATTTATTAATTATTGATTTCTAATTAAAGTGGACTGTATGATTCAATAGTGGTTCTGCTAGGAACTTCCATTTGCAACCTGGGGATTTATTTAATAATCGCTTTGTTACGGCCCTCTCGGGTCGCAACCGGGTTCTTTCTCTGATGTTGTTAGAGGTAGGGTATCCGGCCCCAAGCTAGTAGTGGCTTTCAAGGGATGTGATCCGTAACGCAAGTAAAATAAACGGGGAAGGGAGACAAAGGCAAAAACTTAATAATATAATTGTCACCATCACCATAAATACTTTATAAAAGATTACACGGGGGGGGGGGGGGGGTTATAAACACTAGAATGTGCAACGTAGTCTTCTTCTGAAGATGCGGAGTGTTCCACGGTGCTCGTCGATGCTAAAGTCTTGGTACTCTTGTGGCCTCACGACGAATCCTTCGATTCTCTTGAGTCTACCCTGGCCACAGGCCAGCCAAATCGCAGTTCCACTGGGGGCACCGTCGTGGAGGCCGTCAACCACAAGTCCAGCAGGTAGCTGGCAGGTTCCAATCAGCGACGCTGGTTAGGCCACTCCACGACCGATACTAGGGTAGCGAGCCCTAGTCAGGAGCCTCATGTGATCCCATAGACCACTCTCCTCGCCGCAACACCCCAGTGGTTAAGCGTCTCCACCAGTCAGTTCCGGGTACGACAATCCCTCAGCTGCCACATCACGGACAGGCTAACACCACAGTGTTCATCCGGGGGAGGGGGGGATGACTCACAGCTGCTGCAGCAAATACTTGGAGACGAGACGGCTGCCTTGGGTAGACTGACTCAACTTCTATTACAGCAGTCCCAGGTCGACTCTGTAATCAGACACGTCATCAGTAACAGGGACACTCTAGGGCACCTCACTTACAGGCTTAGACACAAACGCCCACCTATCCACTCCATAGATGGCATTGCTGTCTAAGCGTCACCTCACCAGAGGTCAGCAGCGGCTGCGTCACGAGCTGATCAGGACGGGAAACTAGCCCTTGTGGCTAGTATATCTCGTCCTCACTTGATGGCGCCGTCCATTTGGAGGGGGTTTCGGGAGCTGACCCACAGATGGCGTGGTCGTCATTGCTCCGTGCTCGGACGCTGGGCTTGGGTCCGTAACACGCTTAATCAAAATTAATCGATTGGCTCAAATTTTTGGTAATTAGTTAATCTATGATAGTCAGTTATAACACAAGGAATAGCTTCGCTGTTATTTTGAATGTGACCTGATAATAAGCAATGGACACGCCTGTCATGTAAGCTGAAACTCGTGGGTTAGGCTTTAATGGCGATGTGCATGGATGTAAGCCTCGTGTTGCACCAGGGAATGTGTTGAAATTTCTCCTTTCCCTTGGACTTCACTTGCTGAACAATTACAGAGTAGTAAACTACAACTAATATATGAGGCATATAACAGGAAAAGGATATTGTCAGTGATTAAACAAAGCTTACCTGTTCTGGGTGGCTTGCCCTGCAACTTAACCAATTAACACCAGATATACACATACAATGCCACTATGACATATACTAGTCTAATCAGAAATATAATACTTCCCAGTACTAGCAAGCTCGTTCTGTTGATAGGAGACTCTCTGGTTCGTTAGTAGTGCGACTCACGGGAAGTTTCTCTGTTAGCTTATGCACGTGTGTTGACTGGGGGCAAGTTTGTCTCTATAACGGCGTCTCTCCTTCCCACCAACCCCCCACCCCCACTCCCGGGGACGTGTTTTCTGGAAGGTTCGATTCAGTCTTTTATCGGCAATGGGAAGGAGACCTTGATTTTTTTCTCGATTTAATTATGTCCACTCATGGTTACATTTTTTCATTTAATTTGATCCCCAGACTGGCATTTTATTGATTATCTAATGTAAGTATTATGAATTAATAGAAATTCAGGTGATATGGCAATAGTCCCAATTTCTAAGAGGAGCCACAAGATTTGAAGTTTCTTTGAATGATTCACTAAGCTATTTAGGGTTAGTGTTAATGTTTGACAAACATAACAGCAATTGCTTAGTATGTTTGGAGTTAGTAATTAGTGTTGTAATTTCCAACATAGTACTGGGGGGGAGAAACATGGGTCGGAGTCCACTGTTTAGGACTGGCGAATACTTCATTGCTCTCTGTCAGAATTATTAAAATATTGCTTGAGTTTTAGTTTGTACCATTGTGTGACAGTTCATTCAGGACGGATGTCCTGTACTGAAGTTGCAGGGGTGGGAAGTCTTTGGTCGACTTCATTTCCTGCTAGCTCCAAAGGAACCAATTTCTCTAGTGTCTTGAGACTAATGGTGCCTTTGCCCTTCACTTTCACAATCCTCAAGACACCCTGGCTGTCTGGATGAACAGAGACTATACGGCCCAGAGGCCACTCTGAACGTGGACAGTTAATGTCCACCAGAACAACATCACCAGGTTTTAAGTGAATTTTATTTTAGGGCTTATTTGCCCCATAGTCATAGTGATACAGTTAGGTATTCTCGAGTCTAAATGTCATTCCACCGACCTATTACTCTTGACAGATGTTTGTAGCTCTGAGCCAAATAACTCTCTCTCTGACATACGAAGGATCTTCTGGTCCCTCGTCATTGAGGGACGCTAGAATGGTAAGAATCCTCCATACATCAGATGAGATGGACTTAATGGCTCACGTTGTGAGTGATCATCAGAGAGGTAGGTCATTGGTCTGTTATTGACCCGAGATTCAATTTCTGTGACAACGGTTAGGAGCTCCTGTAGATCCATCTTTTGGAGGTGGAGGGCTTTCATTAGAGAGCATTTTACTGTCCCCACCATATGCTAGTAGATGCCTCTGTGCCATTGTGTTTTGGGGAGTATAAATTTTCAGTCGCACTGCCGTTGATTTAGAGCAGTGCATTCTACTGGGTGATTCCAGAACTCCCTCTGGCATGCTTCCCTCCTACCAAGTTGGACCCATTGTCTGAAATCATCAACTTAGGGCAGGATCGACGCACAGCAAACTTGCAAAAGGCCTGGGATTGTAAGCGGCTCTTCATTCATGTTAGGGGTCACTTCTACGTGTCTTCCCTCCTTGTTGTGGCACAGGTGAATAGGCAGATGTATGCCTTCACTGGAACTTTGTCCTTAGTGCTTGTTAGTATTAGTGCTCCTGTGTAATCTACACCAGTGGTCTCAAAAGGACTCAACTTTTGGACAGCTCGTTCCTTAGAGAGTGGTGGAGGTCCTGGATAAGGACACACGCGAGCACTGTACCTCCGGCAGACAACACAGGATTTTATAGGGGACTTTACAGTCTGGCGACCTTGAGGAAGCCAGAACAGTCGTCTCAATGAGAAGGTAACTAGT